TGGGAGGTGTCTTGTAATTCTGAAGAGGAATGAGGTTGCTTGATCTCAGTAGTTCTTCTAGAACTGTTCCTGTCGAGTCTGTATCACTGTAACCCCACTGTGGAGAGTGTCCATTGAAATCTCCCGCAACAATAGTATGTTTGTGGTCTGTATTCGGGAAGTTGAGCTGGAGAGTAGATCTCGGTGGGCAGTATACATTGTAGAAGGTGTAGGTTGTTTCATCCGACTGCATGTCAGTCTCGTCATTGGTTTCTGGGTAAGAAACCTCAGCGGTGATGTCATTCCGAAAGAGGGTGGCGATACCTTGACATTTGGTGCACTTGCAGTGGTACATTGTGTAGCCCGTCAAATGGAGCTCTATCCGCTTGGGTAGTTGGGTTTCCTGTAGCAAGGCTACATGAATTCTTAAGTCTGACAGTGTCTTTGCAAGCTCCATTTTCTTGTTCTGTATTGATGAGATGTTCAGTTGGAGTATATTCAGTGTCTGTGTGTCTGTGGGTTGGGGAGTCTGTAGTGTCTGTGTGTTGCTTGTGGCCCCTATACCTGCAGTGTGGGTCCCAGTAGCTGACTTGTCACTCCCGCCCCCGGGTGAAGGCAGAGAGCGCGGACCTTTATAACCGAGGTGACACCCGAGCTCGTATAGTTTCAATTGTTGTAGAGGCATTTTTTTGTTTGTTTGGGGGTTGTGAAGGCTTATATGTATCCCTGTGGGATCTCTGGTAGGTGGTAGTCTTGTCCTGACACTGGCTTGTGCCCAAACATCTTGCCACAAGAGAACAAAGGTGCAATGTTCACTGTCCTGTTTTCCATCAACCTTCAGAAGGATTTCTTAGACAGTAGACAACCATAGGGGGTGTAGGCACACTCTAGTTCTGAGAGATGGGAGCCACAGAGTGCAACCAATGACAAGTGATCATCTGAGCAGTCCAGTAAGGGGTCCCATTGAGTAAGGGGTAACGCGTTCCTTCCACTGTGAGTCGTCTACATCACCAAGCGTAGCTTGCGTTTGCCCAATCCCCGCCACCTGCTGTCTCCTGGCTATCTGCTAATAAGATTTCCGTTCATGGGGCAGAATAATTCGAGGGATGGCCAAATCTACTCAGACAGAGGATCGTCACGTCATAGGTCAGCGAGCATTTGCCAGGATATCTGTAGGGACATCATCTGTTTCCAGGCAGGCTATTCCTTACAGCTACAGGCCTTCTGGTTCCGCGGAGACATCTCACAATGAGTCATCTGGCAGACTGTGGGTACCATGCCCCGTCTGTAGAGCTCCCATGAGAGGGAGGGAAGAAGATGTCGACAGTGAGTTCCTGAATGAACAGGTTGGCATGCTGTGACGCCAGACCTACCATAATGGTGGATGTATACGGACCTGTACGTTATTATACTAACCGTTCCTCTGACCGTCTAGGTACGGACCCTTCTACGAGCCGAAGGATCGTTGCTCACTTCGCACCTCACAGGGCTATATGGTACCTCCTAGCCAGAGCTCCATTTGCAACCCCTACTCCTAAGCACAGAGCATGGGTCCCCAGGCTGCTCGACAAGGACGGGGAGTTGAGTTGGTTGAGGCTGGCTTGCCAGATAGCGTCTGGGGTTTCACCCTCAACCCTTACAGCCCTCAACGAATGGATAGAAAGGGGGGGAGAGGAGAGGGGGGGGGGAGAGAGAGAGAGAGAGAGAGAGAGAGAGAGAGAGAGAGAGAGAGAGAGAGAGAGAGAGATCAGAGACAGACAGACAGACAGACAGACAGACAGACAGACACAGAGACAGAGAGAGAGAGAGGGGGAGAGAGGGGAGGGGTGGGGGTGGAGGAGATAAAGATCTGGGGAGGGGAGGGGGGGGCAGAAATTCTTATTGAGATTAAACAACTTCGACTTTAGGGGAAATTTTTGTCGCAGTATAATGTATACAATTTGGCATTACTTGAAGCAATTATAATCTTAAGTTTATAATAAAACCCACTAAGTAAATAAAACTTTATATATAATATATTATAGGTCTAGATCTAGATCTAGATCTAGCCTAAATTTTGAATGTGGAAGCGGTGTTTGCTGGGGCTTCCATCGCTTCTTTTTTATATGATTTTGGCTATTTAAGCGCAAAATAATGTTTGATGTGTAAACCAATATCGTAAGGGTGAGCATAGATAATAATTCAGAAGTGAGAGGAAAACAAAATAAAACAATAGTTAAACCAGCATGAGACGAAAAGACATAATATTAAAATGTATGTTTTTAGACCTAGAGCAAAGAAAGAAAGAAAGAAATAGTTATTCTTCGAGACTCAAAGATAACGAAATTTTGAATAAATTTGGCTATACCACAGTCGAACAGTGTAAAATACGATGAGGAGCCGTTTTGTTTTGTTTGGTGACAAGAAAGAAGCATCTCTTCGACTTCTTCAGGAATCTTTAAGATAGATCTAGATCTAGACTAGAAATCTAGATCTCTAGATCTAAGAATCCCAGATTTGTAATAGGCTTGGGGCTTGTCAAGTTCATGAGTAGATTAGTTAAAGCTTGTCTCTGAGTAACAGCTGGTTGGAGAGGAATGAGTTGTTTTACTCTCTCCGACTCCAGCTAGATATCTAGATCTAGATCTAGATCTAGATCTAGTCTCTAGATCTAGATTTCTAGATATAGATTTATAGATCTAAATCTAGACTGTAGTCCTGTTTCTAATAAAATCTACTGAAGTCTAAAGTACTTTTCGGTTTTATCTGCCATCGATTTCTTCATTGATTGACATCTCACTTCAAAATCGGCATCGTGTCAGGTCATGATCATAAATTTCATGACAGCGGAGTCAAGTCAGTTAGATGTTCTAGATCTACGGTTCTCTCTGCTGTTGAAACAAAAACGTCTGTCTTCGTCGTCTTCTCAGAAGTTATAGATCTAGATCTAGATCTAGAATCTAGATGATCACCTTTTACTTATTAAATTCATCAACAAGGAGAAATGCTGTGATACTCTTCTCAGCATTATGGTTTATAATTACAACGACGTTTTTAGAAGTTCTTGAAAGTGCGCAGAACAAAGCCATGCAGGAATCAGGTGAAAATTATTCCAAGTTGTTTTTATGACTTAGAATCTAGATTCTAGATATATCTATATTTGAAACGCCGGTACTAGATCTAGAATCTAGATCTAGATGTAGATCTAGATCTAGATCTAGTAGCCATCGTTTCTACATGATAATTATTAATTATTAATATTGTAGTTCTGCCTGAATTGTGGAAGCTTTCTCAGTTTTTTGATAAACCTCCTAGGATTTGACTCCTTTTTTTATGACGTTGTCTTTTATATAAATTCCGATCAATATTGAGTATATATCTAGATCTAGAAAAATCTAGATCTAGTAGATTAGATCTTACAATTGTTTCTGACAGTGTTTGCACAAAAGTAGACGTCCTGTTCATCTCTCATAATCATTATCATTTGAGTTTGAGCAAGTTTAAGTCGAAAGACGCTTGGATAACAATAACAAGACGGTGCAACTCGAACTTTAAGTTAGGCCTAGAGAACGTATACAAGCTGTCTACTGTCTACGTTCTCTAAGTCTAATGTTCAATGCTTCCAAGCGTGGCATCGAATCCCCGTCCCAAAAGGTTGGGTTTTTTTCCCTTCTCCTGAGCCTAAAATTTTTTTTTAAAAGACTCACAGACCAAGGAAAGCCACTACTGAACTTTAACCAGGCCTAAATTGGTAAAAGGAAAAGTATAGGCTATACAAGGGCTACTTTGTACAGAGCTCCTCTTGGGGACAAAACCAGAATGTATACATGCTTCATCACTACATAAAAAAACATGCAAAGCAACAAGATATAATTATGGGAACAATTTGTTGGTCATTCGAGAAGAGGACAACAACAACAAACAAAAAAACAAGGGGAAAAAAACCGTCCAGGACCGGGATCGAACCCACACTGAAAAAAATAATGATTTGACTTCAAGCGCAGACGCGCTGTCACTTTGGTCATCAGAACTTCCAATAACAATGTGCAGATTAAGCTTGATATTTTACACACGGCGACACAGCGTTTTATTTAGCACTGGCGCTAATCGCAACGCGGTGTTTTATTTAGCACTGGCGCTAATCGCAACGCGGCGTTGCAAATAGGCACTTCCTTATTTAATCAGAACTCTTCTCACTTGCAGCACCATTTCGCTTCATTTTTTAAAATTTGAAAAGTCATATCTGTTGGTGTCCAGCCCTCTGCAGATAAATAATAATTTTATAGAACTAATAAAGATGATAAAATATAATTATAAAGTAGTAGGCCCTAATGGGAATTTACATCGCCTAATTCCTAGAAGGCTCTAAGCGCTGTGCAGTGCTGAATCATCACTCAACATAAAGTAACTAATGAATCAGAGGACAGGAAATGCACATAGTGAGACCATTCAAAACTAAAAGAACAGTTCAACACATTTTTCACATACACACACACACACAAACACACACACACACACACACACACACACACACACTCACTCACTCACTCACTCACTCACACACACTCAACATTCACACGAACACACACACACACACTCATTTATCATACATACTCAACTCCTAGACCCTCACAATTCTCATCATATAAAATTTACTGGCAGTGGACAGTGTTGAATAAAAATGAATCTTTAGACTTTTCTTAAACTTAAAAAACTCTCTCTGTGATGTTATGATAAATCTACCGGTAATTATTTTTTTTTATGCTTGCATTTCTATAATTTCTTTTGGGAAGGAATTTTTAGGACTGTGTAGCCTTATTTGTCAAAGACAGAGTCAGTGTTAAGTATGGTAAATAAAGTAATATGAAGGGAGAATATGTCCTATTATTCACCACGATAAAGGATTATAGACCTTGAAATTGAATTTTCAGTCATAAACTTTTAAAGAATTCTATTCTTAATAAAGTATGTGGTCAAGAGGATCAGATCAGGTTTGGAAGATGGATGATCAAGTTCTCACTTCTGTCAAACTTGATCTCTCATTTTTGCTCTAACAAGACTGAATTTGCTTTTACTGCAAAAAGAAAAGAGAGACAGTTACATTGTAATTGTATACATAATTATAATTATATGATTTTACTTTCTTCGCAAATTATTTCCACTCGCCAATTTGTCCTATGATCACCTTCTACTTCATCCCAATGTAGTTCAGGATACAATAATTGATTTTGAACAACAATTGTTTGGTTTGCGCCAAAACTAAATCATAATTAGAAATCAGTCTCTATTTTTTGCAGATTGGGCAGAATCAAACGACAATTAATATATGTACTCATTGGTTTTCAGAGGCTTTAAAAAAAGAAACTGGTGCTGTATTATTCAGTCTATATATAATAATATAAAGAAAAGAGCGCTTAATCTTTAAAGAAGCAGACAACAGCATTATTGACAAATGGGTCAATATATATCAATTTTTATTAAATGAGTTCTTGCTCAGTTCATGATTAAAAGTAAAAGTGATTATGTTCTCAGATCATCAGTGGACAATACATTTTCATCATCAAGTCTGAAACTTGTGTGTTACTGATCTTTTACAGAGTATGATAAACTGGTGTATGGTGGGGTCTGGAAGCATGTAATTCAAAGTCCTCAAGAAGACATACCTGATGTTGTTCAAGCTCGCAAGGTAAGTGTGTGCACTCTTCAAATCACCTTCTCAGCAGTGTTCAGACTTGTTCAGTTTCTTAAGTTTCCTTTGTACTGTTTCTAAGAGAAGTTCAAACTGAGACAGAAGTATTATTGTCCATGTTGGACTTAAAGATTTACACTTTATGAGAAAGGCTCTTCAATTTGCCCTGATGTCATGAAGACCTTGGGAAAGCAGTTCTGCCATGGTAAAGGAAAATGACAAATGTTCCTGTCCAGGTAGGGAGGCAAATTTTTCAGGAGAGGCAAAAAACTTTTTCAATTTTTAACTCTCTGAACTGTTTTTAATTCTTTATGCTATAATTCACCAGAGATCTGGTTACGGTGTTCATAACCTGTTTCAAACGTTTGAATTGTTTAAGTTGAAAAGAAGCAAAGTTATTAGACATTCGTCGTTCTCCCTTGCACTGCGCAGCTGCTGTTAAGCCTTGCGTTGTATAGTATGCAAAAGCGACGAATGGTACGATTCTTCATTCTTTCCCATCCTCATTATAAATAATTATGGGCATAGGCAATGGTCAGTTGTGACTCATCGTCGACTGTGATGACTGTACAGGTTGCTACAAATAAGAATAGAATGTGCACAAATTAGCTAAATGTATTTTATTCGTGTATAAAATTTGGTGTTTGTTATTAAAGAATTTTCTATTCCTATCATTTTCCCTCTGTGTTGGTTCACAGGCTTTCCCTGTGCATTACAGCTATTATCGTGTACTTGTAAGCAGTCCTATCTTCCGAATCCCTTTTTCTGTGTCCCATCTCTCACCACTTGTTTCCCATTTACCATTATATCCAGTCTTCCATAATCCATATATCCCAACTGTAACTCTAAGCATGCTTTGTTTCCCTTCATCTCTTGGTTAAATGCTATACAGTCTATGTCCAAATTAGATGATGTATTATTTAATGACACGTTTTCAACAGCTTGATTTAAAACTGTTTCATTCGCAATAAAGCTTTGGTCTCCTTGAGATTTCTTTGTTATATTCTCTTCAGAAGCGAGTTTTACTCTTAGTTCTTACTTTGGCTAATTGCAAAATTATATGCAAAGGGATCCATAATGTTACAATGTCAGTAGTATTCATGATCAAATCATTGCAAACACAAACTTTCATGTAAGAAATGTAGCAATCTGACTAGACTGTTTTACATATATTCTCTTGGGAGAGGTAATGCGACGCTTTGTACAACACCAATCGTGTTTAATAAAGGATTCAGTTGGTGGGGAAACAAGTTGTTGTTTCATACCACTAAGTAGAGATCAACAAGGACTGTTTGAATCTGCTAGACATTATTATACTCGATTTTAACATCAATTCATAAAAAAAATTGTAAAGCATGACTATGTGTTGCCACAATACGTACACTTTTTAAGCTGGACAAAAAAATTAACTGTCATAACGCAGTGTCATTATTTGTCAAGTAATTCTATAATTTTGTCGACCAGTGACAACGTGCTGGACAAACTGAGGCATTATGTATAGCCATCGTTAGGATGACAAATGACTGGACAGCAAACTGATATATAACTTCAATCAGTGAACATCTGGGGGACACCAATGCAGTGCTCATCCATTTTTTGCTCAACACTTTTTAAAAAATACTACCCCCACCCTTTTCCCCCCCATTCCCATCCGTTTTACTCTTACACATCAGCTTTTTTGCTCTTTTGTCAATATGCACGGTCATAATAATACGTGAAGACAGACAGAAATACGCACCAAGTGATTCATTTTTATAATCCTGGTCGATTGTACTCAGCGGAGATGAGAGGGGATTGTTTGTTTGCGAAAAAGACCTAGTATGCAATGATCCTTTAGCAATGAACAGTTTATTATTTTCCCTTATAGGCATTTCTCAATGACATCATCGGTTCAGTTCGGATCTGTTTTGTCAGTTTGGGGCTAGGTAGACTGTCCTCCATGGGAGGGGCAAAATCGACAAAACCGATGATGACCTTCAATAACAAACATGTTTTCAAGGCCGCGAGTGCACTGAAGCCGCGAGAAACCTGCACTCAGGCCTGGGGCTGGCTAGTTTAAGGGAAAAAGAGGAACTACTCTCAATCACGCAAGAACAGATTAGGATATGACCAAAATTTGTATACGGTTAGATGCAGAATTATTTCTATGAAATACCTAAGAATTTAAAAAATCGAAAAAGTTTGACCTTTCGTCGTTTTCCCTTACAACAGCAGAGTTCAACATAAGGTCTGTTCCATCTTTCTCTACGGATCACCCTCAGGATCTGTCTGTAAAGATGTGAATTATGTCACACCTGTCCATTTGAGTATCTTGAAATGATCTAGTGTGAATCACTAGTGTAAGAAATCACAGCAGCAATGCTTTTCAATTTAAAGTGTATCAACTATTACACTTTTGTAGATGTCATCTATCTGTAGAATCTCTGAAAGGGAGACGGCTCGCAACACCTGATCTAGAGAAGGAAGCACAATGAAAAAATGAATAGTAGAGATGTGTCCCTTCTGTCAAGCTCTGACCAATTCATAAGCACAATAAGTCCTCATTGTGAACATTGAACCACCACTCCTGTCCTTGTCATTTTCTCACCCGATCGACCAAGGGGAATTTGATGATCAGGTGTTTTGTATGTTATGAAAAGCTTCAATTGATTTATTGAGTCTTCAGAGTAAAGTTTCTTGATCTTTTGAGAATTTATAGTTGCAGTCAGACTAAAATTACAGAACTCTGCAGCGCTAATTTCCTTTTAATATGGTAATTTTTTTCTTTCAGGTGGCTCAGGACTTCATACTGCAGCGATACCCTTGGATTTCAGTAACCGATAAGGACATTAAATGCCATACAAAATTGGTTTGTATGCTATATCATTGCTTTCAAATATAAAAAGGAAATTATCTTTATCTGTGAAAAAAGTTATGCTCATGATGAATGTCTACTAGCAGCATATTGGAAAGAAGAATATATTATAGAGTATAAAAATGAATCATATAACTTTAATTTTTTGATACTTCTATGGAATGGCACCAACCAACACCATGCTACTCTTCATTATTATATGTTTGTCCCTTGAATAAAAAAAACTGTATTGTATCACAAAGTGCATACATTACCATTCAGTACTAAAAATGTCAATAAAGAGGTAAGACAGAAGAGAAAGGAGTTTTCAAGTAAATTATCGAAGAACTTTTTCAGACTAGTCAGACCAGCTGAAGTAGAATGTTGTGTAATATTTCGCTATAACGGATGGTGAAGCTGGGAGGCTCTTGGATTTATCTCTAAATCGAACTTTGTATCTTGTGACAAACTAAAGATTTTATATTCTTACAATTTTTACAATTTCTGAAAATATCGATGGTGTGCAGTACAAACTGACTGACTCAATGAAGTCTAGTTTTTCAAGAGGAGTTAAAAACAGCTATAGAGAAGTAAAGAAAATGTTTGGTCGCCAAGTCATGTATGTGTCCAAGGAAGCTAGATAGATATTGTACACCTTATGGATTATCGTATAAAGGGGATTAAAGCTGCCAATAAAAGGTGTTGCTTTTGAAAAAATGTCACCCTTTTCATAACTTAAAAGATATAAAGTGACTGTGACTCTATTTTGATGGGCAGTCTATCACTTGAGTTAGACTAGGTACTGTTTGTTGACAGTATTTCAAGTTTGCCTCTTAAATTTTGTAATTTTGATATGATACTATTACTGAACGAAACAGCTGATCCCTAGCACAGGAAGGGTCTCAATCAAAGTGGCCTGAAAGCACAAATTATTTGAAGGCTATACCCATCATCAAAATGAGGTTACTAGTAAAATGGGAGGAGCACATTCACACTTCAACCAGGCTAACCCCTACTGACTCTTCACCAATCAAGAGCAGATTGTACTCTTCAGACTCAAAACAGGCCTTAACAACCTGAAATACCATCTCTACACAAAGTTTAGGATCGGCAACTCAAAATAGTATCCATGTAGAACTAGCAGCCAAACTGAAAGTCATAAACTACAAGCCTGCCCAATGCATGAAGCACTCAGGAAGAAGTATTGGCCGAAACATAGGCAATGAGCCTGAAATTCTATGGGAGCCGGGGGGACCTGCTGTGTATTGCAGCCTTCACACAAAGACTGGGCAGTCCATTCAAAGATGAACGGGAAGGAGAAGAAAGTATTTTATTACTCATTTATTTATTTATTTATCCTTTTTTCTTTGCAATCTGTTAGTCTTTGATGGTTCACTTTTCCCCCTGTATTCTGGACAATTAACAAAATTCTTTCCTTACAATCATTACAGGACCTTTGGTATACATTCTCAAATCTGGAGCCAGTCCTGTTGGAAAAGCCTACAAGACAGGACCAAAATTATGAAAACTTTGTCTCAGTGCCATTGTCCTTCGGACATTTATATAATTTTCATGTCTTGTATTCAAGTAATGGGAGCAGATTTGTACATTTCCTAACTGTAACCAAGTCCCCTGAATTTGAGAGGTTTTTCATTTATTCCCATATTCACCATTGTGAAAAAGACTTGTCGTGGAATCTGCTGAAACAGTGGGCAGTACAAGACAATGAAAAGGTTCATGGTTCCCCAGTCTTGTCAAGTCTTTCTAGGAGCAAAGATTTCCAAATTTTGGTGTCAAGTGCCAGTGACAATGTTTTAAGTTCGTGCAAGAGTGACAAAGACAATGATGTCCACCAGGAGTGTGCAAAGTCAGGCCCAGTGTCACGTGTATCTGTTGACACTGCAACTGAAAAGAGCTGTGATCATTCAAAGTCATCTAAGTTGTCGTTAAAGGTGATGACATACAATATATGGAACTACTTCACTTTCTCAGCTGATCAAGGAGATTATCTTCCACGGGTTTCCCGACTGCTGAAGGTAGGTTGGTTGTATCGTGAATGATAGATAAGTCACTATGATGTCTAAAAACTTGCAAGGGTTTTCAAGTCTGACAGTATTCTTTTTAACTGTTTTAAAGTGTTACAAATCTGCAAGAGGGTGAAAGGGAGAAATGTTCATGGTTCTTCTCTGAGTGTCTTTGCTTCTACAGCCATATACAGTGGCGTCCAAAAGAAACTTGAAAATGTAATCATCCAATCATCATGTTGCATTGCACTGCATACTCATGCAGCATACCAATTTAAAGCTAAATAAGTTCTGCATCATCTGACTCATAAATAATTCATCTATGTTAAGAGACGCCCGAGATATGGTCACTCAAAATTGGCCCTAAAAAAATCAGGCTTGACAAAATTGTGGGAAATCAAAGAAATGTAAATTTGTCTTCACGCATGTATTGAGGAGCATCAATATTGATAGAATGAACATACATTACATATCCAGTTAATGCAGAATTTTATATTGCAATACAATATTCCATTTTTATATTTTGTCATGATATTTTCAAATAAAATGGAAAATTTAAATAGAGCAATCACAAATGCCTTGCAAAACTTGGACTTAATATTAAATAATTATGATCATTGTTATTTTGCTTAGAAGCCATTGGCTTTGTGTAGTGCATGAACCCTTTTCGCATCAATTTATTAAATTTTGGACCTGATTATCCGCAGTCTCATCTCAAATGTCACAGAAATCTGCAATCAAAAGGTCTGAATCGGGAGCAAAGTCGCTTTTCTTCAGCTGCTGTTTCATGGTACTTCCCTCTTCACATACCTGTAGGATTCATATCACGGCTATTTACTGGTGACCACTCCAACGTTGATTTGATTTTGTTTTCCAAGAATTTTTTTGTGGCATTGGCCGTGTGAGAAAGTTCTTTTCTGCGCACGAAGATGTCTACTTGAATGACACTGTGTCGAAAATATGAGTAAGACAAGACGTTCCAGCACTTGCGCGATGTACCAAACAATCCGCTGATTCTCACAAGGGCGGTTTGTTTATTCCACCCCAGACCACCCAAGATAGTGGCAGTTTCGTGGCCTCTGTTTGTGGCTGAAAGATGATCATATCCAAAATTTAACTAGTCTAACACAGTCCAAGTGCGAAAAAGGTTTCGACACGAAACCATTAGCTCCTAAACAAAAACAAAAACAAAATCAATACTAGTGAGCACATTTTATAAGAAAGTGGCGATGGATGGGACACACCTTAAGAAAGCCCAGTGGAAACATCACAAGACAGTCACTGCAGTGGAACCCACAAGGAGCACAAGGCAGGGATAGGCCACGGGAAACATAGAGGAGATGCATGGAAAGATGAAGCTCACTTGGAATGAGCTTAGAAGGATGGCTCAGGACAGAGATAAATGGAAGGAGCTTATATGTGGCCTATACTCTGCCAGGGGTGAAAGGCATTGATGATGATGACATGTTATGTTAAGGCCAGGTTTTGTGTGGTATTATTAACTGCTACGTTTTCCAATCTGTTTGAAAATATCATCAGAAGATGTTCTGAAAGGAAAAGAGAGAGATTTGATGACACCGAGTATCTTCCAGGACTTCTTAACTAAGCGAGAGTTGGACTGTGCTATCAAGAAACTGAAAAAGCGAAAAAGCCCAGGTCCTGATAAAGTACACAATGAGATGCTACAAAACCTTGGTGAAAAAGCCAAATTGCTACTTCTTAAGCTCTACAACAGAACATGGACTGAGGGAAATCTGCCTAAAGCATGGAAACTAGCTACTATAAACCCAATCTTAACGAAAGGAAAGAAGGCCGATGACCCTAAAACCTACCGCCCAATATTACTCACATCCTGTATTGGCAAGCTCTGTGAAAGAATCCTCAATTCTCGTCTTTATTGGTGGATTGAGTCTTCAGGTCTGATATCACAGTGTCAAGCAGGGTTCAGGTCAAAAGGCAGGACAGAAGACCAGCTCTTCAGGCTTACACAGAAAATCATTGATGGATTTCAAAGAGGGGAACAGACAACGGCTGTGTTTGTGGATCTCCAACAAGCCTACGATAGAGTGTGGAGGAAAGGACTACTCTTAAAACTGCAGATCATGGGAATCAAGGGAAACAAGTACTCCTGGATTAAATCATTCCTTACAGATAGACTCATCCAGACCCAGATGGATGAAACCCTATCTTCAAAAGCAGTACTGGAGGAAGGACTCCCACAGGGATCTTCTACAAGCTGTACCTTATTCCTTGCCTTCCTCAATGACGTTTCAGATGTTCTCAGAACAGAAAAAGCCCTTTTTGCTGATGACCTGGTCTTTTGGCACACTGGAGACTCGACAACAATAAGCAGACGAAGACTACAAGATGATCTAAATTCCCTAGGAATCTATTGCCGTTTATGGAAGATGAAAGTAAACTGCGAAAAAACTGTCTACTCTGTTTTTACGAGAAGCTATAACCTTGCAAATGCAGAAATCCCTCTCAAAATAGATGGTACCAACTTGAAAAAGGAGAATAGCCCAGTGTATCTTGGAGTACAACTTTATAGCAAGCTCAACCTGAAACAACACACCAACAACCTCAGGAAGAACGCTATGAAGAGAATTAATCTCATCAAACGACTTGCCAGTACCAACTAGGGATCAGACAAGAACACTTTGAGAGGCCTCTATTTAGGATATAGGGGCCTACCAGAGCTGTTTTTGATTATAATCTTGTTCTACAAAACATTTGCAGTAAAACTACAAAGAACTCAATGGACACCATCCAAAACCAAGCTCTTCGTCTTATCTCTGGTGGAATGAGAACCTCACCGACTGCGACCTGTGAAATCCACACAAATATTGAGCCATTAAAAACTCAAAGAAAACGGGCAGCTTTAGAAGTATATGAAAGATCTAAAAGGCTAGAAAATAACCACCCAAATAGAGTCCTTGTTGACAAACCTAATCAAAGACTAAAAAATACAAAATCTCTACTTGACACTGTTCTCAATCTCCAAAAAAAAACATCACCTCCCTGAAAGACAAGAACCTCTGGAAAGAGTTCCCTCAACTCTCCCACCACATCTCACCATAGCAAAGCCAGAAATTAGGAAAACACTTTAGGAAAAGAGCAATAAAAACACATATCCTGTAGCACTAAAACATTCTGCCCTTGAAACAATTGATTCCTATCCACCAACATGGATCCACTCATACACTGATGGATCTGCCTTAAAGGCAACAATAGCGCTGGATATGGGTCAGTGATCAACTTGCCCAGTGGGATAAAAAAAGAAGTCTTTAATTCCAGCGGGTCCTTCTGCTCCAATTTCATTGCCGAACAACAGGCTATCACCAACACAGCAGACAACATCAACTACTTGTTTGACACTAACCCACTTGCTACCACAGACATCGTTATCTTTACAGACAGCCTTTCAACACTAGAGACACTTGAGAGTGGGACTGATGTGAACAAAGATGTATTGCACTTGATTTGGAGTCTACATAATTTGATAAGTAGGCACCACGTCAGAGTAGTCCTACAATGGATTCCTGCCCACATTGGGATACCGGGAAATGAAAGAGCTGATGCTCTGGCGGGGAGGGGAGCTGGCCTCCCTCAGTCTGAAATTCCTACGAATTACACCACCTGCTGCCAAATGATCAAGTCAAACCTCAAGGAAGAGTGGATGAATGGTTGGGCCACAGGTACGACAGGAAGGAGGATGTGTGGCCACATGAATAAACCACTGGTCGAGGATCCAATCAATGGGTTGAGGAGGGGAGTTCAATCCATAGTCTTCCAACTTAGAACACAACATGTACCCCTCAAACAACATCTCAACCCATTTGGAGTAAAGCAGTCTGCTGCCTGCCTGCTGTGTGACTGCCCCTCAGAGACAGTGGAACATCATCTGTTCTTTTGTAGAAAACTAACTGATTTAGGGGGATGTTTTCTTCCCAGGCTACCCCACACATCTAATTGCCTCTACTCCTCAGGACAACAATTAGAACAAACATGCAACTATTACCGAATGGCATCATGCAGAAGAGTTAACACTCAGATGCTACTGGGTCGCTAACAACAACAACAACATCAGAAGATGCTGTTCATTGCAGAAACACTAACAATGTTCTCTTTTCATTTGATTCAATACATGTCCATTCCATCAATGTTGATGCCCTTCAATATATGTGCGAAAACACTTTTGCATTTCTCTGATTTCACACAATTTTGCCAAGCCTGATTTTTTAAGGTCAAATTTGAATGATCATATCTCGGGCATCTCTTAACATAGATGAAACATTAATGTGTCAGATGATGAAGAAAGAATTTATTCAGCTTTAAATTGGTATGCTGCCCGAGTGGGTAGTGCAAGCCAAAACAGGATGATTTGGTGATTACATTTTCAAGTTTCTTTTGGACGCCACTATATACATCTCTGCAGACTAAATAGGTGTCATCAAATTGTGAGTTTGGTTTAATAAAGGGGTTCTCATAAATTACTGTTTTATCTCATAAAATCTTTTGAAGGCTCTTGATAACTCTGCATTTCAGTATGCTCAGCCTTTTTTATCATTATTTAATGTTGGTATAGATTTCCACAATCACTGTCCTGTGTGAATCTTACTTAGGTTTCAGTGGCTTACCTCTTGGAATGAGAAGATATACATACGATCAACCACACATATACTGAAACACATACCCAGGGAACAGATTTTCAGGTCTCAAATTTTCTTTTACATTTTCTGTATTTTTAACAAGTAAATAATAAAATTCATACATACTGAAAAGATTTCCGTATCCAGCAAATTTCACGATCTGCATGCTAGATTGTAGGCCTTATGTACAGCCAAAAAAGTCCAAGATGGCCCCCCATTATGGAAGAGAAAAATAGTTAACTTAGACCGGTGGATGTTTTGGGCAGGATTGATGAAAATGAAGAAAACAAACTATTCCCTTCTGAAGTCCTGATCGGAGACGGATGCAGGCTAAGGACTGCCATAAAGCTCATTGAGATGTTGGAGGGGGGGGGCGAAAGGGAGATACTGAAATTTATTTTGGGCTGTGCCATTATTTATATTTAAAAAACACAAGGGAGGACGTGGGAAGTGGTCGTTTGGATAGATAGTTGTCTTGGACAGGTGGCTGTTAGGGCATTCTCGACTGTTTATGTGCGTGTATAATAGGCCTATGTTTGGCACTCTTCTTTTGTGTTGAGGTCATGTCATAGTGTTTTATACACCACAGCATGGCGTATGACAGTTTGCTCTAACGCTATTCCAAGGAGAAGTACCAGTGTGTGCTGTGCTCAATATGGATGGGAACATTGTTTTTACTGAATTCTAATGAAGATCGTTAGCACTAAACTGGTGACAGTAGTGGGCACAGAGTGAAGACACAGCACAATTTTGTATAGGTTTTTTTTCTTTTCTCTTTCATGCATTGAGGTAAGTATTTCTGGTAAGCAAGGCTGGTTTTATAATATAAATATAGGGGTAATTTACTATAGTCCGGACAACACCAAATGGACAACTTGCCAACCTCATTACACCGAAACTAAGTGAAGAATTGCCTTGATTTATTGCATGTGCTTCTGAATTTTAAAAATCCTAAAAAGTCTCGATTTTTATGCATATGCAACAAATACAAAGAGGTTTTTTTCTGTATAATCATTAGTATTTTATTACAATCTGCGCTTTAAAAAAAAATTAGAACAAGAACGGTAGTTGAGTGTTCGTTTTTTGTTTTGTTTTTTCAAATCTATTTTCTTTTCTTGAACTGACTGCATGTGCCGCAAGACTGAGTTGTTTTCAGTCCAGTGGTTACTGGGTAACAGTGGGTTTATTTAGATTGACTAATTTGTAATTGTGATATACAATGAGTAAAATTTCTTTCTTCAGTCTTTGAGATCGCTTGTGTTTCAATTTGCTGTCGCTTTTTCATTTATCACCATGGTTAGATTACTTAATTTACAAACCAGAAAAAAACTCCAAAAGACATTGCCTTAACTACTGAACTATTAACTACTGAGATAATGTTGACATGTCAGAAATGATAATAATAATAATAATAAATTGCATTTATATAGCGCATTTCCACAAAGAAGAGCTCAATGCGCTGTACAATAATACAAAGAACATAGGCAGCACACAACTCCTATAGTAATCATCTTTCTCTCTCTCTCTCACTCTGTGTCTGTTTCTGTCTGTCTGTCTGTCTGTCTGTCTGTCTCTCTCTCTCTCTCTCTCTCTCTCTCTCTCTCTCTCTCTCTCTCTCTCTCCAGTACATCCTTGAGTAAAGACAATCCCACAAAGTTTACCCAGACACCCTCGCACACATTGATGAATTCACACAGTCATAAATTCTTACAGAACAGAACTGCATGAATAAACGATACTGAAAGAACATAATAGATACTGAGGGGACATAATAATATTTGTATTGGGAATGTCGGAAATAACAGATTGATAATAATAATAATAATAAAGATAAAGGCGCATAATACTTCTAATAATACTACTTTCATATTTAGGTGGTTGGAAAATGTATGTGTAGGGGGGGGGGGGGGCTCTGCCTTGGACCTGCATGGGGTGTGTGGGGGTGGGGTGCCCAGTGACATGCCTAGGCTTCAAATTTAGTTTTCGGTTGATCCCCAGTTTTGGATTTGACCTAACTGTATCTCCCCCCCCCCCCCCCGAAATTTCTGGCTGAGCCCCTGCAACGACACCCTGTATTGTTATGATTTTAGCATTGTAGCGTGCTTGCTATGAAAAGTGTGCAGTGTTTATTTGTCGCACATGCACGAAAATCAAAATTTTCAGGTCTTTTAGAATTCAGATGCGCAAGCGAAAATTCAGAGAGATTCGCCACTTAGATTCGATGTAATGAGGTCGCCAAGTTGTCCATTTGGTGTTGTCCGGACTATAGGTTTGGCTATGGTGTATCATAGACAATTATCGAAGCTGTTGATAAGCTGATAGACTTCAATGAGCACATTGTGCACAGGTTTTTTTCTTTGCACGGCTTCAAATGATATTCTAATGGGACAGGTTTGATCTCTCCAGATTGTCAAGGAAGCCCAGCCAGATATTGTGGGTTTTCAAGAGATTCGCTTTGAAGCTCCTCGAGGAGGTCGTCAGGGACCAAGCCAGATGGATCACATTGTACCGCACTTACCCGGATATCAGGTAGAACAATGTACCGTGTGGGAAAAACAATGCTTCTATTACTGGATGCATGAAGACAATTTTTGCTCAGAGATTATTTTGTCTCAAATGAAGCGACTGGATCACATAATCTGAACTTGGCTAACTGAACTCTTTGTTCCAGCGTGACCCTGAAATGATATCACTTGAATTTCCTTTTGCTGTGTAAAAATAGGCATGAAAATGACAAAGAAGATTCTCCAAAAGATCCGGGTTTTACGATACAGTATGGGGAATACTTTGAAGGCAAAGGCTCTGTAAAAATGCCATATATATCATCAGAACAACAATAGAGCATGCCCTGGAAGTTCAGAAAGATCTTCATTTATGCTTTATAGACTACACCAAGGCTTTCGACAAAGTTAGGCACGACAAGATCATCGATATGCTAGAAGTCCTCAATATTGACGGGAAGGACTAGAGGATTATCAAGAACATGTACTGGGATCACACGGCTGCAATAAGAATAGAAAACGACATCAGCGAATACATACAGATTAAAACAGGAGTCAGACAGGGATGTGCATGTTCACCAGACTGGTTCTCTCTGTATAGTGAAAATATCATTAGACACGTAGAAGAAATGCCAGGTATCTCGATAGGGGGACATAATGTAAACAATCTAAGATATGCAGACGACTCAGTCCTAATAGCAGAAGATGAAGAACATCTACAGAATCTATTAGATGTCATCGTACAAGAGAGTGACAACATGGGCCTAGGCCTAGACATCAAGAAAACTGAAACAATGGTGATAAGCAGAAAAACTCCAACCCCAACCTTCAATATATCAAAATCAATTATACCACCCTCAAGCAAGTACAACATTTTAAATATTTGGGGACCATTATATCATCAGATGGGAGATGTTACACCGAAATTTAAAGCCGCATTTGCCAAGCAAAAGCAGCCTTCCACAAAATGAAACAGATACTCACAAACATCAATCTGTCACTAGAAACAAGAAAAAGAGTACTGAAAAGTTACATGGAGCCAATCCTTATACGCCAATCCTTTATACGCGTACGAAGCATGGACAATCAATAGACAACTGAAAAGAACAACTGAGGCGACAGAGTTGTGGTTCATAAGACGTATGCTACATATCCCATGGACAGTTAGAAAAACAAATGAAGAAGCCCTGGTTGAAGCAAATTGCAGACGACAGCTTATGACAAATATACGAAAGCGACAAGCAAATTTCATTGGACACACAATGCGGAAAGAAGCATTGGAGAATATTTTAACAACAGGCAAGTTTGATGGAAAGAGAGGCAAAGGCAGACAGAGGGAAAAGATACTGGACAAGTTGACAACATGGCTGGGAGCAGCAAGTACAACGGACACCATTGCTGCAACGCAAGACAGATGGAAGTGGAGGTCCATGATCGCCTACGCCAGTCGGCAAGGCATCGGATGATGACGATGATCTGGGCTTGTGGGAGAAAGTTGAATTATAAGGAATTGTGGCATAGAGAGCAGACCAAAAACAGAGAAACAGACCAGATCAAATTTTGAGGAGGCCAACAGCCCGCACAACTCACGAGACCTTGTCATAAACCTGCAATATGAACATGGAGCAAAAAAATTGTTTTGGAAGAGCTAGAGGCAGGTCATCATATTTATATATATATTAGAAAGACCAGAGTCTGGTTGGAAGGAGGCAGCAAAAACAGCCTGGAGCAGTGTTGAATTGATTAGATTCGTCAATGGCCTCTGCAACATTAAAATTCCCAATTATTATTTTAGAAATTTGTCTTGTATAGGATATTTGTATCTAACAATAAATGGTGATTTAAATAACGGTGGAGTTTGATTAAACCGAAAACTGCGGGACTGCTAAATTTTCTTTGGTTTAGTCATGTTTTTAGTTCAATGGTATGCTCAGTTAATGAAGGAGAAAATCAAGGATTCACTTTTCTTTTGGTGTACTGCTGCCTTCATATTAACTCCTTTGTGATAAGGAGTCAGTTCTTTCATCACCGGGCACAGTTTTGGATTCCTAGGGACACAGAGTAGTGCTAGATTTAGTGGTTGGTTGCCTATAATTAGACCTGGTTTGTAAATACTATCTCTAAAACTAAAAGCAAAAGATTTCCTTTTTCGGAAAAGACATAGCTGAATGCGTATCTGCAATTAGTTTTTTAAAATCCATCTAATAGAAGCAGTATGCAGAATACAACCTATGGTGAATGGCGTTCATCATCGTGGTCCTCACGCATCACAAGGCCTGATGAGCGCCATACATCACAGCAGCTTCTTGGCATATGTCATGTAGGTCACGAAGGAGTTAACTGTATTCGATTTAAGTGGACTCCATTGTACACAACTTGTTAAAATTATCTGTGACCTTCTGTACACTAGAATTAAAACCTAAGTATTCCAACCCATTTTGATATGCTGTTTCTTTTCTGTTTGCCACAGAATAAGGGAGTTAGTCTGTAATTTCTCATATATATACTATCAGAAAGCAGTCACTCATGTTGATTTCACCTTCTGTTTTAACAACCAGTTTGTGTACCAGCCAGCAATGATGCATGAGACCTGCTTGGAGCAGGGCCGGACAGAGGAGGGTGTTGCGATATTCTCCAGATTTCCTATAATTTTTCATGACTATATACTGCTACATCGGTAAGACTACAAACATTAACTGATAGTTTTCATGTTCTTCTTTTAGTGTTACATATTATATATTGTCGGTGTTTCAAGCAGTCCACTTTAAAAGTCCGTTCGGGTACTTTTTACATCAGAGACAAAAACACTAGTTTTTGTTGTGTTGTCCCTATCAGGAATCATGAAAAGCAAAAATATTGTAAGCTTTGACCATAGCATTAAACTGCCTTATAGTGATGTTGAAAGGTGCACCTTTGGTAGAGCTTTGGTTGAGTGTAAAAATTAAAAATTCTCAAAATTTGGACTTGCGACAGCAGTGATAAATTGTTTTTAATGAAACTAATTTTATTGTCTTATATACCCATACAGATCAATTTTTAACTTTGTCTTGACATTAGACAGCCCATGTTGGATTTTTAAAAATCTCTGTTTCTTCCTAATACTGTACCTGTCAACTGCTTTCACCATGGATATTTTGACCCACATCACATTACAATAAACTTAAGTCCTTCCTACATGATCTTTCTTCACTATTTTTCTATATCTCATTTGACAAGTGCACGAGGCAAACTGTCCTCTTGCTGCAGATTCCCAATCACGCTCATCAAAAAGTTTATATGTCATTCCTTTGTTTATCTTCTTACATTGCTTTCTCAACGAAAAACTGCCTGTAATTTTCCCAGAAATCTGAGCAATAACGCTGATGGACATCAGAGAGTCTGTTTACATGCTGTGATACTAGTGCCAAGTGTTGGGCCAGTGAGTATCGGTTCATTTTATAATTACAGTCAAACCTGTGTAAGACGGTCACCCATTGTCAAAGAGAAAAGTGGCCGTATAAGACAGGCGGCCGTCTTAGGCAGGACTGATCAAGATGAAGAAAACAAACCATTCCCATCTGAGGTCCCAATTGAAAGTAGCCGCATTGTTGTTGTTTTTTGTTGTTGTTGGTTTGTATTTTGTTTGTAATTTTTATTTTGTTGCTGATTTTGCGCAAGGGTGACAATAAAACGAAATGTATCAGACGAGGAAGACCGAGTGCCATGTTAAAACAAACACGTGGGTTGCCACCACTCAGAGAACAAGCGATGCTTCTATCACAAGTTCATGTTGACATCCTTTGTTGTTACTTTGTTACAGACTGGGTAAACAGTGACCACTCATCTCACTTACGATCTGTGTATGAGTTCTGGGCGGGGCTTATGGGTTATGAGGGATCGCACACTTACCTCACCAGCAGCTGAACATTGGTAGCTATTGGTCAACAGTGGGAGGGGCCTACACAACATGATCAGTTGGAGGGACTACCTAACAACAACGACAGGTGATTGAATTATGACAGCTCACCCACAACGCCAGGGGCCAATGCACAATTTATGACAAAACGTAATGGAGTCACTAAGGTGGCCGTCGAAGACAGGTGTTATTGCTTAGTGGAATAGGGGTTGTGTTGTAAAATATGGTGGCCGTGTTGGACAGGTGCCCGTTTTACACAGTTAAATTATATAGAAAAAACACAAGGGAGGAAATGGAAAGTGTCCGTTTGTAGGCAGTTTGACTGTAATTGTATAGGACATAAAGCTTTTTTTGAAGATAGTGATGTGTGCTGCTGAAGTGCAATCTAGTATTATTATCATCATCACCACTATTATTTTTATAATTATTGTTATTAATAGCAGTATGCTTGTTATAATAGATATTGTTTATTTTGTTATTATTATGATCATTATCGTAATAATTATTTTTATTATCATCATCATTATTACTATTATTATTATTTTTACCTTATATTATTTTTGGTTCGTCCTTTGCCAATAATTTAAAAACTTTTAAGACAAAGCAATGTTATAAATTGTATATTTTTAATCCTTTCTCAAACTTAATGTCTTGTGTTTTGGGCTGATTCTGTTTGCAGCACATGTCAGGGGTAGCACCTGTCAGGGGTGCTGGCTTTGATCAAAATTAATTTGTCTACTTTTTAGCAGTCTCACAAGTATTTCCTGGAAATTTTGAGTCCCAGGTTTTTGGCACTCTCAGAAGTAAAAGAATATATTTTGATTGCTGATCAAATGCAGATGTCAGTTAACCAACAGAGTACAGAAAAGTCTCATGCAATTGGTCAGAAAGTGAAATGACTGAAATAATCAAGTGTCCTGGTTTCTTCTCTTTGGCTCATGACAGTTGCTTATCATTATTTTGACAAGGACTTGGAATCTTCTTCCTTTTCTACCGTTGAACTGGCTGTTCTGACTGTTTCGGAATTTTACAGGATGCATTCACTGACTTTTCTCATCCCCGCCAGGTCCATGTGTTCAACACACACTGGTCCCTAACCCATGTGGCACGGGAGCGAGCTGCTGCCCAGATACTGGACTACATGAAACGCTATACAGGGCCTGCCATACTGATGGGGGATCTCAATGCTACTCCAGAAGAAAAAGCAATAAAGTACACTTCTTCTGACCTCTTCTCATCTCACCTTGTCTGTGCCCAGTTTTGTATACATCTCATAAGTGTTTTCTTGGTTTTCAAGTTCATGGTTCAGACAGCGATGGCTAAAATACAGGAGAAAGACATTCTCAGTTTAAGGGGAGGGGCGGCAGCTGAAGGCTAGTGGATCAAATGTTACTAAATTTCTCACATATAACAAGCATAGTAAGGAGTCTTAAAATCTGCCATCAAATTTGAGAAAAAAGTTTCGTTTCCATGGATACGGTGGCCATGTAGGATTTTGTTGACATGTCTTACATAATTAACGCTGCACTTATTTGTCTTGGAAATATATTGTTTTTTTGCATACATCTCGGCAAACAGTACATCTACAAAAGTGTTGAATGAATTTTTCCTTAACCTACTAGAAACATTTTAATGAATTTTTTCCTAAGGTAGTGTTCACATTTGCAAAAAATCAGTGAAAATCCACACTCCAAACACCACCAACAAACATCTATTCCATAAATCAAAAATAGGTCACACAGATTTTTTGTATTACTATTACATATTTTCTTAAATCTGTGAAAATTTCATGAAGATTGGATGAAAAATGGTAGAGTTATTTTTTTTAAGTATATAGTATAGAATGACCACGTTTCAAGAAAACAGGCAATATAGAAAAATAAAAGATTGACTTTATGAGGAAATGGTGGATGCAAACATGCCCGGTATGGGAAGAAATAAGGCTTTTGGGGGTTCTTATGCAATGAAATAGTTGTAAGAGAGACTGAAGAAGCTAAAAATGCCTACAACTTAAAATCCATAGTTCTGAGCCGAATCAGGACTTGAGGTGATCTATTATAATGAAGTGATTTCGACTCTGAAAAAATTTGTTGTTAGCGTTTTATCCATATGTCAAAGAACACGGTCTATCGTAAATACAGAATCAGTTTTAACTGAACCCCCAACCTAAGTTGGAAGTGTAGCTTGTACCAACAAGGAGGGAATGGTCTCTTCAGATGTGTTTTCTGTGGTTTAAATGATTAAGCTATGGCCTGGCTTCATTGTCATTTTAATTGCTTAAGTTGAAAGGATAATCAGCATTCTTCATTAAGAATATTATATGCCCATCAGGCTACAGTGTCGTATGTGTTCCAGAGGTCTGAGTTGGTTTATTGGAATGACCTGACTAGCCAAATTATTTAAGCCTCCTTTTGGGGTACACAACTTTATTATATTTTGAATATATCATCAGTGTCACAAGCAATCCGCTCAAGTCCATTGGAGTACTTTTTCTGGTCAGAGACAAAAAAATTACTTTTATTGTGTTGTTCTTATAAAATCATGAAAAGTATCAACTGCATTTTGATGACGTTGAAATGTATACCTGTGGTAGAGCTTGAGAAGGGTGTAAAAATAAAAAATGTTCCAAAAATTTGGACTTAAGTTGATTGTTTGCGACAGCGACAATATGATCACTTTAACTTTTGATACTGATTGACATCTTAAGTCCAAAGTCTGTATGCATGGAAAATCCTGAAACTGAATTCAATTAGGTTTCTTTACAATTTGCAGTCTCTGATGCATAGTTATAGTATACAGTTAAAGGAGAATTGACATTTTAGTGAACATATTTGCAAACTGTATTATAATTATTATCTTTGAAAACTGTTCCACATTTATAATAGCATTACAGTTACAGAACAAAATTCAACATAGGTCTAAATTTAAGTGTCAGTGATTGATGTTATCCTAGATTATACTTGACAGTAATGTGTCCTTGTCTCTATGCTTGGTACAGTGGTATCCTGAAGGATTCAGAGTTGCAGGATGCTTGGGAGTTATTGCATTCTGGTACAGACGGTTCAACTTTCAGTTGCCTGGAGAATGCACCCACTAAACGGGTAAGACAAAAATTGCTTGAAACTATACTGTACTCCTTAGCTCCTATCTCCGGCAAGCTGCTCCCAGCGACTCGCGGTCAGAACCATCGTGCTGGTGAGCCGCTGGCAGCAGCTTGGGCACATTCCTTTACGACAACTTTGACATCAAATTACTTTTTGGCAATTACCAAAAACAAGTCTCTTTTACCAGAAGTTCATTCATTAGATGTAGAACTATCAAAATATGTTCTCTTGTTTCGAGTTAATGACCCGTTTAACCCTTTCACCCTCAGAGCTATCCCTGCCCAACAAGGCTGAAATTCTGGCAAAAGGGACCTAACTCCGCTTAGACTGCATGACTATATTATTTTAAAAAATCATTAAAAATCAGAGGATGAGTCTAAAATTACAGTTTAGGTGTCAGAGCACAGATAAATGAATAAACTACAAGCAAGAAAATGTATGGTTTTGTACGAAAAATCATTGTGTATTAGGTAAAAAAAAAATTCTGAAGTGAAAAAAAAAACCCCAAAAGACACAACCCGCTTTTTTTGCCCGCAGAAGTTCATGATGTTTTACCCAGAACAGCCTTTTGCAAGGCCTAACCTGGCCCAAATTGCATCCTGTCACTGTCTCACTCCCTCTGCCTAGCTTTGTAAAGTTTCTGGTCTTTACACAGTAGTGGCACGACCCCTTTCTACCATGTATCCTGATCACAACATGCTCTAAAGGATTTGTTGTGACAGAGCCCACAGTCCCAGTGTTGCTCCTCCCTTTTTTACGTCGTAGTGCAGCAAGTATGTAGTACTAGATCTAGATCTAGCTAAAGTGCTGTGGGTGCTAGGCCTATCTTCTTCATCAGTCTTCTAAATCATCACCTCCAGCAACGATCTCACCATCAACATCACTATCATAGTTGTTCCCCTCCCCCTAGAGCCTAGATCTAGACCTGCGACATCGTGTTCGCTCTCCTACTATAGTTCTCGCTCTCTCTCTCTTTCACGACTTCACGACTGAGTGTCCGAGTGACTACTTGTACTACTAGCACTAGATCTAGCCCCTTGGTCGACGATATCGACATTTAAATCCCAATTATAAGTGTCTCCATCGTATACAGTGCCTGTAGCGACGCAAAATTTCATCCACGAAGTTAGATTTAGGTCTCTAAAAAGCACGAAATTTAAAAAATCGCCGCTCTCGCGTGCTTCGATCGATTTTCACCAAATAAACACGACAGTAAAGGGCAACCACTCTAGATTCTCGCTATAAGCTCGGCAATCTCGTGCGACCTCGCAGGAAGCGAGACAACGTAGAAACGAAAGTAGTGCAAACGGGTGAATCGAGTGGGCGTGTCGGCGCACATCGGCGACTACGGGGGTTAGCGATGACAGCGCACATCGGCGCCTCCGAGTGGCAAAAGGTTAATGACAAAAAATTTTAGATTAAGTACCAAAAGAGGCCCTCAGCATAATGGGTTTTCCCCCCTCGGAGATAGAGAGTTAATGCACCTTTCCATGGTGTCTGGTGTCTCTTTTTCTTTTGCATTTGTAGTTTTCACTTTTTGAGATGTTAGGTGAAGAAAAGTAAAAAGAGAAAAAAGCATGAATCACACACTCCTGCTGAGGTGCATCATCAAGACTGAAGTTACACTCAAAGAGATTGCATAATGAACATACTTTCGATGAATTTGTCCATTTGATTGAAGGCTCCAAATGTGTCACGACGCAGTGGAATCATGCACTTGTTAGTTTTTTTGGGCAAATGTAGTTATTGGTATAATCTTAAAGCCTGTTCATTTGCCTCACTTTAAATGAAAAAGATGCCTATCTATCTTGAGTAGAAGTGGAGGTATTTTCGATTGAAAGATGTGGGAGTCGCCTGGTGTTGGAGGTAAGGTTAGTGAGAAAATGGCTGCCAAAATTATGTGACTTTCAAAGCTGCAGTATCCTTGAAAGCTACAATTTTTTAATTTTTTTGCCTTTGTTCAAAATTTTTCAGCAAAATCCATACAGGAATGTGTTTTACAATGATTATAAAAAGTATTGAGCCGAAAACAAAACAAATGTATATAAATTACCAAGTGGTCAGAAAAATATCGATTTCTTCTGTTTCATTATTTTTTAAGAGCGCCTGATTTCACCACAATGCCTCCCTACACAAGACTCAAAATGATCAACACCATATTCATCCCAACACTCTCCTATCAATGCCAAACATGGACCACGAACAAGACATTAGAGAAAAGAATTACAACATGTGAAATGGGATGTCTTAGAAAAGCAGTAAACAAGACCAGGAGAGACAAAATTAGAAACTCTGTAATCCGAGAAGTGGTGGGCATAAATGATGTCATACATCACATCCTACACCAAAGAATCAAATGGTTCGGACATCTCATGCGATTACCAACACACCATCCAGCACAACGTGCCTTCATCGAAAAATTCGATAGCAACAAGGCTAGAGGGTGACCGAGAAAGACCTAGATAGATGGAGTCAAGGAAGTATTAACCACCCAGGGCGTCCGCCTGACCCAAGCTCTCTGGCTGGCGACAGAGAGACGTCCCTTTCTTCCCGCAACACCCAAAAGGGTATAAGCGATGGATGAAATTAAAAGTAAAGTAAAGCCTCACGAACGGTGTTTGGAAAGAGTCAGGATCTCAACAAAGAAAAATTGTGAAATAATTGTAGAACGTAGTACAGTGGAGTCCACTTATAACGAGTCCTGAAACAACGAGAAGTCTGTTATAAAGACACTATTGTAAAACCCCGTTTTTTCTCCTTCTTTATCTTTGTAAATAAAATACTGCTATTGCGCAATCAGACCGTCACGCGCACAGACCAATTAAACATGTTATAAAACCTTGCCAGTTGAGAAAGTTGTTGGTGATCCAGCGAAACAAAGAATGGGAGAGCCCACACGAACCAACAATGAAGGCCAAAGCGAATTAGTGGGGAGGGTGTGGCATGCGCAGACAAGCAGAACGCATCGCGTGATAGGCCAGCCCAGTCTAGATTATCTAGGCATACCGTGCCTCTCACTTCTCTGGTGCGGGATGGGGTGGTCACAATGCTGTGATAGATGGATGGAGTGAATGTGTGACGTGCGCAAGCAGACGCAACGCACCACAGGGTGTGGTGGGGTAGGGGACAATACAGCGGGCGAGTTAGCCTAGAGCCAGAGCCCCTTCTTTCTGATCGCCAAGGCCGATTTGTCAACATTGCTAGTGCTAGAGAAAGAAACCTGATTCGATTTTTTTATCAAGTAAGACCTAGAGATCATGTTGAACAAATCGTCATCAGGAGAAATACAAAAAGGAATAAACAGAACGCCAAACTCAAAGATTAGGCCTAGTTTACTATTTCCCTTGAATTTATTACTGGATCCCTTGTAACGAGAATCCTGCTATAATGGACATTTCGCAACGGTCCCCTCCCTCTCGTTATAACAGGATTCCACTGTATTGGTGTAATTGATTTGTGTTTTTTTTCAAGCTTTTGCTTTCTGCAAATGTACTATATATTTACCCTCCACTGTGCTGTTTTGTTTCAGATTGATTACATATTCTTCAGAAAAGAAAGTGGATTGACTCTTGAAAGTATAACAGTTGTTCCAGATGCAACAAGGTGTGATTTTTAGAGCATTGTAGTTTTGTGAAGAGCCAGTGACATATTTTGTTTCTGTATTACCCACTTTAAATTCAAATGTATACCTTCCAGATGTTGAAGACAAGTTCTGGGTTGTCTTCTCTACATCAGTCTTTCGTTGAAAATACAGAATCTTTCTTAAGAAAAAGCCAAATATTGTATGTTTATTTAAATAAATTTAAGGAAATAGACTAAAACTAGTCTGTGTATATTATATGTGGAAGCTTTGTTTTTTCCACATTTCCACTGGCACAATATTTTTCAAAACACACAGGTGCTCAAAAAGAATCCATCTGATAATTTGAATAGTGTCAACTGAGAAAGAAGAGTTTTTGTGAAGTGGCTTCTTGTGAATAAGGAAATCAACTTTGGATTGGATTGTTGAATAAAATAAGAGCCTGCAATGTGAAAAATTTGTTCAACCTTTGCAAGATTTTCATTTTTCAGTAAAGTTGATTCTTTGTACATACTGGTATTTCATGTTTTTTATCCTTAAGATTTAATTGACTGCTGCCTTTATTTTAATTTGCGCAACCCTGATCCATGTCTCTGTACCTCTTTCAGGAAAAAAGCTGCTTCTGATCATCGCCCAGTTTTGGCCACTTTCACCTGTGCTCAAAGAAATCAATCTTCCTCCTGAGATTTCATTTTTCATCTGTTGCAAGAAAGGAAGAGAGAGTGATATTATTTAATTTTGAATGAAATATTATTATGCCTACTTATTATTAGCAGCTCAAAGTTTGCCCTTATTGCTGTTAGGTTTGATCCGCCATTTATTTTCTTGCAGTCGTACAATTCAAAATCTAGCATGGTTTGAACTTTGCTCAGCTGAACCAAGTTCAGAATTTATTTTTTAAGTTTAGACTGGACTTTAAATAGCTTGCTGAATCGGTTTTTGTTTGCTCATTTAAAAGCTTTACAAGGTTTGGTTTAGGTGAGATGCGATGCTCCGCTCATTTTCCTTCTTTCTTTTTTTTTAAATCATTTGGCATCCCTGATAAATACATGGGTAGAAAACTTCTTGTATGGAATAAAAATAATGACAGCTGACACATTAATTTTTAGTGTTTTTGTGTCGGAAATATGAGCGGACACTTATGAATATATATTTAAGAAATCAGAACGTTATCAGTTATTGCAAATGGTCATAGAAACAAAAATAAATGCTGGGAAAATCTGGCGCTGATACGGTGTCACTGGAAAGCTAAAAATTATCCTTGTAACCCAATTACGAGAATTCATCCCTGTCATTCAGTCACGTAACAAAACCTAGACTTAACATTTTAAGAAAAGGTTCTAGAGTGTAACAGATACTGTTTGTGTATTATATTGTAGATGTATTGCGGCACTAAAATCGATTTGTACTTTTTCATAGAGAGACTTCAGGGTAATTTTTATAAACTTTCAAGAAAATATGCAAATATTCACGATTGTATTAGACACATAAAGTTGTATTTGGAGGAATTACTTCATAGCGAATTGTGTTCAGGATGGATAAAGTTGCAAAATTACAGCTTTCTATTATATGCGCAGATGCTATCTTTTCTGAGTATACACACCAATGTTATGTCGTTCAGGTTCAAAAGTTCAACAGTTTTTGTTTTGCCATTTTTTAAAATATTTATTTTTTTCATTCGCACTTGTCCAAAAAACGTTACAATTTAGCATTGCTGACTTCAGCGCGTCTAACGAAATAACCAGACAAGTTACAATGTCCATTCTTTTTTTAGTCTCAAGAGCAGAAATGCGTGCTTTGGATGCGTTTCATTATTATAATTACCATAATACAAGGATACACCTGAAACTACGTTGAAAAGTACCAAAATTTAAGTTAGCCCTGACAGACAGAGCGGCGACCGGGAGCTGACCCCTGTGAGCTCGAAGTGATAAGGCGCTCGACAGTGCGCCGTGAGTAGTGTCAGTGTACTTGACATGTACTATGTACTCAAGAGTTTTGAAAATGTCCATCAGCCATGGATTAGGAAGTCAAGAGAATAGAATTAGAATGTGCCTGTCTTGTTAAAAAAAAACTATTGCTCTCTGGAAGGAGAAGGTGTTGACAACGAGTACAGATAGAATCAAACAAAGAAGTAGAATATAACTATAACACTTTGCAACCTGTCCTATTTGGTTTATTTAGTTAAATTTGTTTCAACCTTGCACAAAATTTATTTGAAACAACATACATTTTGTGACGTTAACTAAAGATTTTGAAAGCAAAATCGTTTTTATTAAAGAATAATCTTTAAAAACCTTAACTGAGCTTTGTTCTGAACATTTAATTTAATGAGGAGTTTGTTCAGAGTCTAGAAATTTTATCTGAGCTTTACTGAAAGTGAAAGAAACAAGTTCACCTTTTTTATTTACATCAAGAGCTAAACTGAGCTTGTGCATCTTTGTAAATTTGGGCATAGATATAATTTAATAGGGCTTTCCTGCTTGAACAAGCTGTGTAACTCTTGATATTGGTACAATTCTTATGGGAGATATATCAGGTATTTTTTCACATTTTCTGATGAGGTAGTGCTGTACTGGTAAGCAAGATTATTCCTTGCATTGCTGAGGCATTGTGTGCACAGCCCGTAGACTGAGAGTTTTTGGTCATACCGACAGTGAGACAGCTCATCGTCAGGTTGGATCCTCTTTGCTGACAACATGTATTTGGTTACTGTCCCCCAGTTAAAGAACAGCTGAAGTTTACATCAGTATTGGAGGACATTGTTTCAGCTTTTCCTCAAGACATGGACAGTTCTCCATTTTTTTAACATCATAATTTTAATATCAAGTTCGGCACAAATAAATACTTACAGAGCTTAACCTTCTCTTCAAATAATTTGTCCAGTGTTATACGTAATATAATTTCCATACTTTTTGTACATGTAATTTTAATACATTGTACTTTTGTTTGTATCTCACGACATATTAATAAGATGTTGCTCTTTTTTCGCTAGCCAAGTGACTACACATATACGCACTCTTGACAATAATTAATGGTCTTTGTACGTTATATTGTACAGGTGGTTTTATTTTTCCTTTTAAGTACATTTTGTAGAGACCAGATATCAAATATAAATTATATAAGGTTTCAGACTTGGAAAATTTTCTGAGATACTGGCAGCTATTTTACCTTTCTAATTCTATTTCCAAGCACGAGGTAGCTAAAATTGCTAAAACTGTCGCTGTTAATGTTATTAATTCTTAATGCGCAATAGTAAAATGTCTCCTACACCACCACCCCCATTTTTTTTTTAAACATTAATTTTACAGGAAAAATTGTTATGTTGATGTCCAGAGTAAGTTTTATCTAAAGAGTTGGACTACTGTTAAACCTATTCTTATTTATAACTAAAAAATGTAGGACTAGAATATGTGCATGAGTTTAATTGTGTTAATGTCCTTTCAATGCAGCTGGACAGTTATGTTCAGAAGGACTTTGTACGTATCAGGTCATGCTTTCCATGGCCCTGAGAAAGTCACTATTTAATTTCAAATCCCGGTGCTGATTAGAATTGATCACAAGAGTAGTGAGAGATTTTGCGACACTTTACCTGTCCTGGAATAGTAAAGATACCCTTTTGTTTTCAATGCTTTGGAGTTACTTATTTTTGTGAATACATCTCTTGAAATAAACCACTGTTCTGTTCATTATACATCATTTGACTAATTTAATTGTTCCATTTATCTGAATGATGTGTGGGTTGAAATGTGTGTCGCCACTAGAATGTGGTCACAATCTTAATCTTACCTTTATGCCTTTTTGCTATATTTTTAAGTTTTAGCAAAAACTAGGAAGGGAAGACACGACGTAGAGGCCGCTAAACGTCTAAGTCTAAGGGATGGGCAGTCGGTTGAATTCATCTGCGCGTTAAACGTGCTCAGCCTACCGCAGGGCCATGTGCTAGGCAGTGCCAAAAACTGTTGTAGTTGTATGGAAACATCGCATTTTGTTTCAATATTTAATTTAACTATCTTCTTGATGTATTTAACTCTTGTGGTGCCAACTCTAAATACACTGCCACATTCAGACATGCCTTCTCCCCAACATCTTCACATACAGTAGAGCATGACTATAGCGGCACCCGCTATTGGGGGACCATCCCAACAGCGGGACCTTATTACTGGAATTCCCGTTTTTCTTCCTATGTAAACTCGATTACTTATGCTTGGATTCAGCGGAACAAGGAAAGTCCCCAAAAACGGATACAGCGGGAGAGGTCGAGCGAGCTCTAGCTGGGGGGGGGGGGGGCTGTAGGTGGGCTCCAAACAGGCAGTCGGCGTTGTGATTGGCTAGTCCAGGGATGAGTGAGGTCGGGCAGGCAGTAGGCCAAGAGAGAAATGGTGTGGGGAGAGAGATGGTGAGAGAGATGGTGCGGAGAGATGCATTACGTGAATCACTCCAAACGTGATGTAGAGATCTGTAATAGCCCTAGGCCTAGGCTAGGCCAAAAATGTAAAAGAAGAGGAGAGCATGTAGTGTGTTATTCCTGATTCATTGAATATGATCATTGATGCTCAAACATACGTACGCATACACTTCACCAGTTCTACAGTAGGCCTACCCGTATGATAGACAGCACAAGCAACGAACCGAGGAAAAGATGGCTTCCAACAAAGACAAAAGGAAATGCTTTTCACTTGAATTAAAGGCCGAGATAATCAACAAAGTTGACAAAAAAGGAAGACTATTTCAATCTAAAGCGCACATTTTATTGCTATGGAAGGGATGTAATCATGTCTATTTAGAAAAACAATTTTGGTAAATTCCCCTTTAAATTCCTATAGCGGGAACTCGCCTACAGGGATTTTTCTTCTGGAACCAAAAGTCCCGCTATAGCCGTGTTCTACTGCATCAAATTCCTAAATGACACCTTAGTGTGGTTGAAAACACTGCAGTATGGAACCTCAAAAAGGTTGGCACATGTTCATCTTCCTGGCATCAGAGGTTGGATAGGCAATATTAATGCTCTCCTGGCATTAGTAAATGATTTGACAAACACAGTTGTCAGTGTCAAATATATCCTGACCAGTCGTCTCAATCAAGATTGTGTAGAAAATCTTTTCGGTCACTCGCGAGAAAAAGGGCCAGATGTCAATTCCCGATCCCCAACAGTTCAATATACCTTAAGGCAAGTCATGGTTGACAAAATTCTACTGACAAGTGAAGGCAGCAAAGAGGTCTAATGACATAGACAGTTTCCTCATCAACCTCTTGACAACGAGCAGTACCAGCCAATCTTTGACCTTTCCAGATTCTATACCATTGCCAAATGAAATAAAGCAAACAGCTAGCATTGTAAGATCATGTGAAATGGACCATGTGATACAATTTAAAAGGATTGTATCTTATTCTTACATAAGCGGGTCATTGTCCGAAAGTTGAAAAATGTTTGTGCTATGCTTGTTTGGATTTAGTTCAAGACCAGATATCATCAGCTCAAAGACACCACCAGTTGATAGAACAAAAACAGTTCAGTAATTGTTCAAATGATGGTTTGAAAAAAAAACTACTAAAAAATTAATCGTTTTATTTGAGAAATTTGAGACGATTTTCCAAGCCCGGTTTTGGAATGTTGTTGGGAGCAGACAAAAATACATGTACAGCAATTATTGAAGCAGAAAATGTTGTCTGATCCTACAGCGGCCCAATTAACACTAAATGACAGTGGCTGTTGTGAAATAGACAATGACAATGATAATGATAATCTTTATTCATCTCGCAGGGAGAAATTTGTCTTGGTGGTTAACAATGGCTTTAGACGTTACAAAAGTTAGACTTAATAGTGCACTCACGCAAACGCACAAGACAGGACATTAAGCCAAGTAAATACATGTCTCATGGGCTGGGACAACCCGCTCCGTAAAACATTCATTCTCTCTCTCTCTCTCCCTCCCTCCCTCTCTCTCTCTCTCTCTCTCTCTCTCTCTCTCTGTTTCATTTGTAGCACTGTGTGTTCAGTAACCTCACTGCAGTTGGTACGAATGAATTTCTATATCTGTCTGTTCTTGCTTTTTTCGAAATGTATCGTTTACTGCGATATGTCATGTTGCCCGAATCTTTCGGACATTAAGGATTTACCATGAGCTGAAGGTCCGAAATGAGGAAGGGAGCGAGGCATGCAAAACGAAGAGAAAGCTGAAAACTGTGACCCATCTATAGAAAAGTTCACACACATCTCCTAGATCTAGTTTTTATAGAATTTAGTTATAAATAATAGTCTTCCTAATCTCGTAATACATTGTACTTGCATTTTAGGGGGACAGACCTAGATATAGATAGTAATTTAGAATCTTGATTTACCTCGTTCCTCAAAGTGCTTATTTATTCATTTATTTATTATTATATGTTTGTTTATCTTTGTTTTAATGAGCACGTTCTAGGCGCAGAATCTAGATATATATATCTATTTACAAATACGGTATTTGTTTATTTAGGAATGGTAAAAACTTAAAAAAGCACGTTGATCAGCTGATCGTGGATGCATTATAACAGGCGAATACTGGGTTCGCTTGCTGGCGTAACGCGCAGACGACTTCGCGAACTGACTCGGCCCGCTGACAAGGGAATAGAGAGGTTATGCTTCGTCTTAACTTCCTAGTTTTTGGTTTTAGTAAGAGTTATACGGCATTTGCAACACTATATAAGGTCATATAAGTGCCGAAGAATAGATTACGTGTTACAAGAGAGTAACATACACAAAAAAGGAGGGGAGATAAGGACGACAGATGTTTGGATAGGAAAGAAGGAGCAAACCACACCAGAGCACCTGCCAACCACCCATTGCTATTTTTTTGAAGCTGTACAAACATTTCAAAGAATAGCAAAGAAACATTTGGGGCAGTTTTAGTTTTAGTAAAAGTTTTATGGCACTTGCAACACAATAAGGTCATATAAGTGCCGAAGACTAGAGGTGTTATAAGAGAGTAACAGACACAAGGAGGAGGAGGAGGAGAGAGAAGGACAATAGATTTTGATACATGTAGGACAGAAGGAGCAAACCACACCAGAGCACCTCCCAACCACCCAAGGCAGTTTAGGCACATTCTCAAAACAATTCTGCAGTGACCACCAGTTTCTTTGGAATGCTGAACTTTGTTGCTCTGAAAATATTGGAAACGGACAAAACAATATTGATTGGGAGTTGGAGCCCGATTCCACAGATTTCCACAAACCTGGGGTGAAGAGAGTGGGATGTTAGCCTGGACTAGTCTAGTAGACAACGCACTTGCACTGAACTTTTTCCAGCACATGCATGAGCTGTGCCGAGGAAGTCATTTGCAAACTGGTTTTCGATTAGTTCAATCACTGTTTCTTCTCCTTTGGTCGAAAGCTGGCCCCTTCATTGACCACTTTGTTCCCTTCACTTCCCAAGTACTGGGACAGGTTATATATCAGTTTCAATAGGCTATGACCATGGCAGTGCAGTGTACAGTGGGTATCGCATTCAACAAAGTTGCTGGGACCGGCTTGTTGTCCTCGTTGGATCCAACCTCTCGTTGAACGTGACTAAGACTAAAGTAAAGAAAGGAGACAAATTATTATATGACACGATGTACCAATACCAGTAATTAAAACAGTTGTTCCCCGATGACGAAAATCTCAAATAGCATCAGTGTGCGCGTGTTTGAGCTGCGCTCTGACCGTCATTTCTGCATTTTTAAATATTTTTCTCGTGTGGAAACATACCCTCTCACATCTAGGCTTAGATCTAGATAACGTAAAGGCGGGAGCTTGGATTTTCTAATCAGGGGAAGAAAAGAAAATTGAAAAAAAATGAAAGGTCTTGATCTTGACCTACCCATCCACAGTTCATCCAGTTTCACACAGCCCGCATCGCGTTCCCACCCACCCCCTCCCATCCCTACCATAGGCTAACCCTCGCCCATCCTCTTGGCTTTGGGGCCCATATTAGGAGGCACACTAGATCTAGCAATACAATGTGTTAGGAATCGGTGATGAGCCTTGTGCTTCGCATGATATGGACAGAAAGGAGAAAAATTATTCGCTTTTGGGGCTGCTAATTGCTTTTATTTGGTTATCGCGACCTCGTTGAAAGCGACTTCGGTCTGTTTGCAACCTCGTTGGAGCCGACATACATTTACAAAGTGATATAAAGGAAAAAATCGGGGATGAAGGATTGCCTCGTTGGAGTCGACTTCTTGTTGAATATGACCTCGTTGAATGCGGCACCCACTGTAAAAGAAATTCACCCAGAAACCTGAAGTTACTTGTTTTCACTAGCATCCCAAACAACACACTACACAACACTCACAAACATGAACGAACACACACACACACACACATATATTATATATTAAAAAACAAAACCTCTCTACCATCCCCCAAGTTCACTCAGTATCCACAAAGGGTTATCTATTCTGTCATAAAGCAAAATAAGGAGGTAAACCAAGAATCTAACCGGTGAGAACTGAGACATGCCTTTTGAAATTCACCCAACAACCTTTTTTGACTGTCGATGGCCAGGTTCTTATGTAGACACAACCATATAAACATCATTGGGTGTTATGAGGAACAGTATGACACATTTTAAAGTAATCTCAATCACAAACTTATTTATTTGGCAGAGCACTTTATTGGTAGAATCACATAAAAATGGGACATAAACATGAAGGTCAACATTATCGAATCAGGCGGGTATCTCATCCCAACCAGCAACTCTCATCATCCTACACACACATATATTCATTACAATTTGTCATAGAAAGCAGGGAAATTGATGAAGAAAAATGTAACGTCCATATCAAACTGCAAACTGTCTTAAAAAGAAAAAAAAGTAGGACAATGCAATGAAAGCACTTGTCCCCTTCACCTAAATTAAGCAGGGTAGTCTTGAAACAAAATTGAAAAACACAGCGAATAGACTTTTTAAAAATGTCGATTGTCATTTGAAAAAGACCATATTTAAATGATTGTAAGTGAATAAGAAATAAAAACAATTTTACAAGTCAGACAGTACAGTAGTCTCTGCCTAAACACAAGCTATACAAAAGCAAGCTCCGCTCAAACACACGCTTTTGTCATATTATGGGTTTTTTACTATATAATTTAGACGTACCAATGCAGGGTCACTTCTTCTCAATGCATGCTTCAATCCGCAAAAACACGCCGACAGTAAAGCATGACAAACGGATATTTTCCCTACTACCTGCACAGCTTGCATGACAAGCTTAGAGAGCCGTATATTTGGTGAAACTGCCCCTCACACAGAACAAAGAGAGTGATGGAGAGCATTTTCACACCTAACTTTCCAGAGACTTATGGGTCTAGGACTGGGCAAGCGATATGTTTGGGGCGGGTGACTGAAATGTCTTTTGACTGGTCACTGGAAATGCATTTTTGAGAGGAGGTCTCCGACTGGTGTTTGAATGACTGCATATGTAATGTTAAGTTAGGCCTAGTATGCGTAACACGCATGAACACTGTAGAACACTAGATAGGCCCCTATAGGATTAAAGAACAACTTACAATATACTTATTTGTTCAACGAATCACAAGAGAAAAGTCTCGCGGAATGTCTGATTCTGTTGTCATCCATACATTTAACGAGCTGCAATAGATGACAGGCAGTTGGGAGTGGTTGCTTGGAAAGCCACATGGCTGAGCACTTTTCCCTACTATAACCAACAGTTTCCTCTTGTAATCTGTTCCCAACATTTTATAGTGAATTCAGCACAGTGAGTCCATCTTTCTCCTCCTCCACCACCTCCCCATTCAATGCCTTTGTATTTATAAATCATAACAGCAGTCGATGAATCCTCCACAAAACAGTCACGTGTCATCATATTATCGGCCAAAGTGACCCCCATCCCCTAAGGGAGGTCACTAAAACATCAAGGAAATGAGATGATTGCGTCTCTTCCTCCCTTTGCACAGGTTCATGTAAATGCACGCTCTGTATAAACACATGCTAAGGAGCCCTCCCGATCACCGTTTGTTCAGGCAGAGACTTCTGTACAGAACTCTTACGTCTTCTGTACACATTTTCGCTTCAGCAAGCAATAAATAATTGCATCATCGGACAGAGTCCCCTGCCTTCTTTCAAATGCTCTGTGATTAATATCGAAACAAAAAGTGAACACAAAATACAAAAAAATTCAAATTTCTAGAAATCCAAAGCTGAAGAGTGCTCCTCTCACATTAACAAAGAAACATTTTAAGATAGCTCTGTTACCTCATGCTCTAATCTAGGTGCAGAACACCGCCATCACTTCAAATTTATGCAAAACAAAATACAACTAGGCCATTGGCGTATGTGACCAGTTTCAGAACACACGGACAACATGAAACAAAAACTTAGGTTAAAAATTACCAAGGTACAAAGCCATCTAACTGGGTCCCATACAAAGTGTTAGACTGCTGGAGAGAAGCTTGGAAATTTATTTCCCCTGCTTGTTGTTCTGAGAATAAAAATAAAAAATTAGTAGAAGAGTCAAGAATAAAGACAAAGTCAAGCACATAGGACAAATGAAAAATACAATTTGTGTGGACTTAGTGCTTTAAGTGCTGATCTTCGCAAAAGTAAACTACAGTAGTCTCCGCCTAAGCGCACGCCATACAAAAGCACGCTCCGCTCAAACGCACGCTTTCGTCATCTGACAGTTTTGTTACTATATAATTTAGACGTACAACGCACGGTCACTCCCTCTAAACGCACGCTCCATCCGCCAAACATGCCGACAGGTAAAGCTTGACAATGGGGAATTTCCACTACAACCTGCACAGCCTGCATAGGACAAGCCTAGAAAACCAAATATTTGGTGAGGCTGCCCCTCACGGCGAACAAAGAGAGCCATGGACAGCGTTTTAGTTCCCAACTTTCCACAAACACATAGGTCTAGGTCTAGGTCTCGATCTATGGCTGGTCGGTGAAATGTTGGGTGGGGAGGTCTGAACTGTTTTTTTTAATTGGTCATTGGGAATGCATCTTTGAAAGAAGGCTTCTGACTAGTGTTTGGGTGACTGCATGGAATGTTTAGTTAGACCTAGGCCTGATGGGCAACATTCGTGAATGCTGTAAAACACTAGACATGCCTCTATAGGATTTAAGATTAGCCAAGAAAGCCTAATCAGCTGCACTCGAAGAACTTATATTTTTTATAATGTACTTGTTCAATGAATCACAAGAGAAATGTTTCTCTGAATGTAGAGATCTATGATTCTGAGGTTGTCCATGAATTTACGGTCAGGGTGGTCGCTTGGAAAGCCACATGGCTGAGCTGTAGTCTCCATGACTATCTCCAACAGTTTCCTCTTAGGCTATCCGTTCCAGACATTTTACAGTGCATATTCATTACATTGAGTCTGTCTCCCCCCCCC